CCCCCCCCCTTCGTATTGGGTGACCCTGAATGGGACACTAGTGATATTGAATGCTTATTCAAAATTAATATTCATATAATTATTAATCTTGCAATTTAAACATTTAATTACAAAATATTTTTACCTATTTATGAAATATCATGAAATTCATTTAACAGAAGAAAAGAAATTGTTGACCATATCAAGCAGAAGTCTGAACCACAGGATTAGTATGCTAGTGCCTTAACTCTTTAACTCTTTGTGCTCCTAATTTTCTTTCTCCAGGGAGCTCTTTATTTAGATCCTACTGATGCACTACCTCAGCGCTTGCACTGCTTTGTCGATTTGTTTGTTCTTGATCACAAAGAGAGGAGGCACTGTCTTTAAGAAACTATGAAAACAAGTTTGGTTCACATCACCTCACTTGTAAACAGTTAATAATCTAATAAACTGACTTACAAAATGGAATGTAGCAATAAACAAGATATTCTTTTACATTTTTTCACACTCATTGTTCTCGTTGGGATGGCACATTTCATTCACATCAAAGTTTCTGAAAAGCAAACAAGAAATTGAAATTTGCTTTCCTGCTTGGCTAGTCACATTGTAGCCATTTATCTATCGTAACGAGATACATAAGACTTCCGTTTAGTTAATATCAACATAATATTGACGAATTAATTGCCTAATAAACTGTCTTAACAGTTTAGGCATAAGACATTACAAATTGTTTACTTTACATTTGTGTGCTTCCCATGAAATTGGAACAGATTTACAGCTCTGGAAAGAAATAAAACTATACTTAGAGTGAGACTAGACATCAGAGTAGAAGACTGTCATTGCAATATGAAGTCCCACTTGACCTTGGAGCACAAATGGATAATCCATGTGTGTGAATTTGTATGAAGAATGAGATGTGATAATGAATAATGATCAATGATCGATGAATATGATTATGAATGAGATGGCATGAAATGTGGTTATAGTTGTTTGGATGAGATATCTGGTGATATGAGAGGTCAACCACACCAGAATTTTGAGGCAAAAACATCTTTGCTGTACATGGACCTCGAACATGCAGCCTTTGGGTTTGTGTATGTGGGTGCTGCTCTCAGTCCTTCCAACACAGAGGCAGGTCACAGAAAAACCATCATTCAAAAAATTGATCATGTCCAGAGTGGACAAAATAAAAAAAAATTTGGTACTACAGAATTGCAGAGATTTTACATTAGTTAATTTCCTAATTTCTTTTTGGAAAGTATTTAATTGCTAAGATTACTTTTCTGTTTTACTCCACTCTCTTCCCAGCCACCTTTAGGCACCTAAAATATATTTTGGAAACATTTTCGGTTTTTTGGTCCCTATCAGTAGAATTGAAATAGTGCTCCAAAAGTTATTACACAAGTGTAATGTTCATCAACTAACAAATTTTCATTGAAAAATTTGTAATTTGGTTTTCTTTTTTTATTATTATTATTTATTTATTTATTTTTTGGTTTTTGTTTTTGAAATGTCATTTGAGTGTTTCAGAAAGTTGCAAATTTTGATCTCATTTTCAGAGAAGATTTGAGTATTTGAAAAACTTCATCTGAGATACTTTGAAGCAATTGTACTCAAAAAATGCAAAAATATTTATAAAGTCAAAAATATAAATCATGTGAAAATGTTTAAGAAATTAAAAGTGTGTAATTTTTGAAAAATCAATTATTCAGTACATTTAGGACTACACATACTACAATAACCCTACAATAAGTTGAAAGAAAACTATTTGAGAAAATCTTTTTAATATTTCTCATATAGCACTTAGTTATGTGAAAAATACTAATATTTTCATTAAAATGTAGATGACATTAATTAAAGAACTAATTGTCGAGCACAAATTTTATATCAAAAAACAAATCTTTATCTTTGATAATGTAGTTTGAGAGAATCCAAAAAATTTCACTTTTGAAAATGTCCCTGGAGCTTCTTGTAAAACATTTCCACAATTTAAAGAATTCTTTTCAAAATCAAAATAAATTTTGTTGTTCTAAAAACATTTACAAAAATATGTTCTATGAAATGACTTAAATGCTTCATTTATTTCTCAATGAGTAGGGGCACTCATAGGAAACAAGGGGCTTGGGGCAGAAGATCCGTGGGGGCCTGTTTCCAATAAGTTTTCTTTAAAATATAATAATAAAGCAAATAATTTTTATCTACAGTTGATTTTTTTTCAAAATGTATTTAGGAATATAAATTTTTGGGAACCCATGAAATTTTCGGACCCCCAAAGTGAGGCACTGGGGCAAGTTGCTTCAGTTGCACCACCATCTGTCTGCCCTGTCCGTGAGCATTGCTACTAACTCTTGCAACAGTGATAAAAGCTATTTTAACATGTATTGTTATCACTTGTTACTATGTGTAAAGAAAATTGAGGCACTGCTTCATACCAAAACTATTATTGGGTGAATTAGTATTAGTTTTTCATAAATGTACAGAAAATTGAGGAAAAGTACTTCTAAAAATAATTACACCATGTTCGAGCAGCGTTATTCATAGGCTCATAAATTTTCGGAATATCGTTTCGAAATTACGAATTAAAATGATGGTTGTAACTTAGGTTATATTACAAAATTGTGAAAAATGCAGGATATTTTGCTGTTAACTTCAACAATACGATTTTGCACTGTTGTAGACGGAAGTCCGTTGAAGAGTCAATGCGAACCAACCAAGGAGTCACTTGGGTTCTAGGTTTCGATTCCTCACGTCTGTTCGGCCCAGCTCCGTCCAAGAAGAAACATCCAGCACCAGGAGAGCCACTTTGTTTTTGTTTCCGTTGCCCCACACCAGGGCCGACAACACCACGCCATCCAACTTCAGTTTGTGAGAATTGATATCTGCATAGGACTCAGAGCCGTCTTAAGGACTAAGTTTAACAGTTTTTGAATTAAAACAAAATAAACATTGTACGTCTTCAGATGTTTTGGAATTCAATCTTTGAATCTTTTTGAATAACTCCTCAATTATGTCTGAAATACGTACTCATGTGAACCATTACGACAACTTGCCTAATATCGATGGCGTCGATCACCTCATAAAATACTCCAGAAGGGGTCATTTCAACAAGAAAATATCCTGGGTATCGGATACCAAAGCATTGCGTGGGTTTCTCTGTAGGCGTTAAGCGCGGGGCGTGTGATCAGTTTGGAAGACTAGGGCATTGATACATATTGCGTCTGTACCCAATCCTTTACAATCCTAGCAGTGTGTTCTCGGTGAGGCCATTAGCACGAGGGAAGACTAGTCGTGAACTGGAGAGCTTGATTCCCGAAAAAGTCCGGATATTATCAGCGAATGTTACCACTATGCGCACGGGGGTTGGCAGTAAAAAATATCGCAGATCGTCTCATCCTTCGGTCTGTCTCCGTCCGCACACGGGTGCCATGGCCGACTCCGACAAACGACGTATACGCGCTCGGGAATCGATGGGGGGTGTTACGACAGACCACGTGACCTTTTTCCAAAAATTTTCCAGTTGTATCGATGTGCGCAGTCAGCATGGGGGGCGCGACGCCCTCTCCACTCCAGTATTTGAAGATGTTTTATTACCTTGCATTGAAATATATTGTCGTGGGTTTCAGTAGCCGGGGGCGGATCCAGAGACTTTTCTTTTTTTTTGGGGGGGGGGGAGACAGGGAATTCAAAATACTTTGGTCGAATGTGTCATATTGCAGATTTTGATAAATGTCGCAGGCTACACTCAGCTAATGCTACAGTACGATTTTATTCGTTTTAATGATTATCCGAAAATATTTTTGCCCGAAAATTGCATGACAAGTTAAAATTAAGTGATAATAAAAATTTAATGGGGAAGGGGGATTTACCTCCCCGTGGATCCTTACCTGTCTGCCCTAGCGTACTCTCGAACTCTGGCCTTGCGGTGGCTCCGAATACAGTTCTGCAGCCTCCGCTGCCGTCTTTCATCCGTTCGCCGTGCTCGACCCAGGAATGAAGACGTGCTTTTCCCCCAACATTGTACAACTTTTGTGCTCATAATATGAGCACGAGGGCCAAAACAACCTGTACATGTATCACATGTACTGGTCCCACAGGGTATATTCGTCAAACTCGTATAGATCGACTTTTTTCCGTATTTTGACTCCGCAGACACATTTCAGAGCGAATCTGTCCCGCCTGCAGGTAGTTTCCATTTGTAAGCGCGTGCGTGTAAAATACTGATCTCACGAAGGGTTGGTTGTAAAGTAATGGTTCTTCCATGTATATAAAACTGGAGAGAAAATGAACTATCGAAGAAAAGTGACGAATTTCAAATATCTAGTAAACTTGCATGCAGTCAACAAGTAGCTGTAAATTATTTGCTTGCGTTCATTTAGACCGCGTTTTATTTTTTAAATAATATGATACTCCGTATTTTTAAAATTATAAAACATTTCATTTTGTTTTTAACTTCGTAAGATTTCAAGAGCTCTTCAAATTTACAGCGATCTTACTCGTTAAGGCGGCTCTGTAGGAAAGACAGGTGAAGGAGTACCGTAGGGGGAGGTGTGGATTTGGTGTGACCTTGATATGAAATGAAAAGAGTGTATGCATTTATTTTTGCAATGTAGTTTTGTGATATTTCTATGAGTTATTGCTTGTGTAGTTCTTATAAAGTATTCTGTAGCGTCTTCTGATCAGCGGGCATGGGAATTCAATCACGACGTAACGGTTAAACAAATAAAAATGTGTGTATTTTGTTCTTGATATTCTATTTTACTAAGAGTCGTTAGCAATTGCCAATTTTGCAATGCTTGCTCCAGTAGTCATAAACAATACTATAAAACTCACAATTACACATTAAGTTACAATTAGATAACTATGACATTGAATTAATCGGAGTTTTTAGATGTTTTTCTGTAGCATAATGAAAGTGTTTACCATTATTTTCTGCCACACTTAAATCAATCATTACCACAAACGATCGGTACGCCGTGACACATTTTCACACAAAAATTGGGACCGGAGAGGTGACTCATGGCATCAATTGATGTCACTGCTGTGCCTCTGCGGGGGACGTTTTAGGTCGAGTCCCGACGGTGGCAGGATTTTCGACACTAGTGCATCCAAACATTTCATTGCAGTACTCCGCTTATGGGAAACAGGATTGCCACTTCCCAGATTACGCACATCACTCGCCGTGCGGGATACTCGGATTGACTTGAAATTTTACCACCTTATTTAGCCCCTTTCAAAATCCATAAATATAAATTTTTGGTACTACGCAGCATTACAAGTAGTGGTTTTGCGACAATTAGCATTCAGATCATTCATGACCTGCTGCCTGACGAAGCTCGGAAATCATCGCGTGCCTGTCGTCACGGTCTCACTTGCCTCGGAGGGCATCAAGCAGGGTGTTAAAAATAGACGTTTACATGGCAGGTTCGGAAAGACGAGAAGGTCGAATACATGCATGCATAATTCAAATACTATTATTGCAAAGAGTCCCTGAAAATGGTATCTCGATGTGAGAAAATTAAATACATACCTTTTTTGTCTTACAACTTTTTTGCAATAATGGGGTGTAATGATAAAGTATACAATGTGTAATATGTCATGAAGTGCACGATATGTAAATTTATTTTTTAGCATTGGTTTACGACATCCTCAAAACTAACTTCGGTAGAAATTTTAAGATACCGTTTTACTGTGCCCTTGAAACTGAAAAGAGACCAACAGATATAACCTTTGCCCTCAGTCGTGAAAGAACGTACACACTAGAAATTTGACGCTGGTTGATAGGCGTTTGGAGCACTGCCGATGCAACTTTAATTGCTGCGGGGAGCGCGGAGGTCACGGGAGATCTCGTTTATAAAATACTATTTCTAACACTTCATAATTTGAATTGTATTTCGATTTTGCACAGTGTCCTACCAGCCGGCGAAGTGTTTAGTGCACTCGCTTGCAACACCGTATGTCCCGCGAAAGGGCCTTCCCATGAACGACTGGCATACGACTGGCGAAACTCTTGAGATGCCGATGTGTGCGAAGGTCACGGGGGACAAAGTTATTTTTCCTACTTTTGTATTAAGCAAGACGGTATTTCGGCTGGGTGTCTCAACCTTTGAGATCTTATGTACTCTCTACCTCCCTGGAGAAATTGGAACATCACTTTGCATTTCACATAGTGGATCACGACAGGTGTCGCGTATTACGAGAGGTCGTAATGAGATGAGTGGGATCGGAGGGAGGTTGAATTGCGAGTGAAGAGGAAAGGAGATACTGATTTAGCGCGTTGCCTGTCGTCGCGGTTGATGTGTTACCTCGCAATGAATATTTACCGGGCATTATATACGTTTCGTGATTTATTGAAATGTCTGTTGAAGTCTTCACAGATTTTTTGAATGTCTTTTGTTGTTGTGGTTGTTGTTGTTGTTGTTGTTGTTGTTGTTGTTGTTGTTGTTGTTGTTGTTGGAATAATTGAGCCCGTAAAGGCGGTTGAAAATGGATGTCATTTTAAAAAGCTGATACGGTTTTGATGGTTGTTAAGAATGTGGTGAATGTATGCATTGGGGCATTTCTTTATGTTAACAGCTGTTTTCCTGCTTGATATTACTTTTGGGGTATTAGTTCCCATTAGAGAATGCGCCTGGTTTAGAAGGTGGCGGCTAAGTACACGGCGTGCAAGCAGCCACGTGTCATGCAGGTTGCGTCAAGGGAGGACGTAGGGGCTAGTGAAGCGACGGATCGAAGTGACGAGAAATCTAGTTTGCGGTGAGGCTCTAGAGACGGTGTTACAAATCTCCTGTACTTATGTTCCCGTAACAGCGTATTCATGCGTAATGCCCGCAATATTTGGTAACGCCCATTAATTAAACTGCTGCTGAATTGTTACTCACCACATGTTGCTGTTCATTGGTTTCTCTCTTGTGAGGCAATTTAAATCAGAACACTTGAAATTTTAACAAAAATATTGTTTTTGCATGGTGAATGTTTCCTTCTGTGTTTCCGCGGATATCTTGTTCCTGTCTGTAGAAGCGATTAATTTTCTGAAGTGCCTTCGCCAAACTTAAAATATCTTGAAGTCGCTACTAATTGAGTTTTAAAGCCAGAATGTCACGTTAATATTTCCATCCTACAGTCAGGCGTCTATACTCTAGCGAATTCGACCCAGTCTCAACAAAACTCGCGGTGGTAACCGACATTACATACTTAAATTGTCTCTTTTAACGAGTTCATATAACAAATTTTATACTTTCATTGCGTAACACGAGACCTTGCGTTTGTGATAAAAGCTTTCGGCAAGATTCCTGGTACATGGTTAATATGCGAAAGTTGGATGGATGGTCACCGTCTTCGTTATCGGGGTTTTGTTATCACAGTTTCGCCGTGGAGTTGTTACTGTACGCGCCGTAAGCAGCTGTATGATGGGGCCCGTACCTTCCATGCAGTAGGGTGGGCAATAACATACATAAATCATAATGGAATGATATCGAGATTAATGTATATTTTAAAATAAATAAAATGAAAATTTGACAGGTACATAATAAGGTTACATAACACGTTTATAACGCATATCACTCTTTACGAGTATTAATTAGCTAACCGAACAATTTAGAAAGTTGGAAATAAATTCTATAGAACATTCAATTCAATATGTCATTCTTCTGTTTGTATTATTCCAATTTCGAATCACCATTATTCATAGTCACTTAATATTTATATTCAAACTCTCAACATTGTGTGACAGCCAAAGACATACTACCATAAGAAATTTAATGTCAGTGTCTATGAGTAGGTACAGAGACTTTCGTGTATCGATTTATCAATCATCAATATGAATAGCGGAACATTTCTGAGAAATCAGGAAACTGAAAAAAAGATCTTCAACCAGTGTTAGTATCATTGCACAATCACTTGTCATAATATACCTGTGTGATCCAGGTGATTCACGTAATTGAACGAATAGACCTTATTAAAAAAAGTATTGTTGGGTTAGCACGCGACACTGCCTAAGTCGCAAGAGTTGAGCATCGTAGTGAATTTTGCACTGTTGTAGACAGAAGGCTCGATCAGGAGTCGTGTGCGAACCAACCATGGAGGCATTTGGGCACTGGGCCCGGGGTCGTGAATTCTGTTCGGCCCAGCTCCGTCCAAGAAGCAGCATCCAGCACCAGGAGGGCCACTTTGTTTTCGTCTCCCTTGCCCCACACCAGGGCTGACAACACCACGCCATCGTCTTCAGCCTGTGCAAAATAATCTCAATAGGACGGAAGATGTGGAAAATAATGCAAAGTACGCTCTTTCACAATGAAACGATACAAATAAATTAGATTCTACAGTTAAAAATGTCAATTATTTTATATTGATACAGCGATAATAATCAATAAATAATATTTCAATGAACATTACACCGATATGTAACAATGTCTATATACTTGGCGAAAATATTAACTTCACTCCCCTGCAGTAAAATTTGGTCAAATTTTCTAAACTGAAAAAGAGTTTGTTGTGAATTTTATTAAATGATAAAAACAGAAAGCGAAGTAACTGCACATTCATCGGTTGATGAAATTGAAACAACTTTCAATGCAAAGCGCTGGACAACACAACTGCGCAAATTGTGCCGATGAGACAAGAGAAAAAGTGAAACCTTGTGATTACGCTGGATTTGCTTAATAACCTGGCGCAAAACATGTATGTATCCCGTAACTTTCGCAACGGGATAATTTCCAGTTACATCTGAGAATTTTATCTCAGTGTCACTAAAATACAAACTAATCATCGATCTTATTGTGAAGAAAAAACTTTTCTAACGAGACCTAACGTATCTCGAACACGTAAAAAAGAATAAGAAAAACTAGTGGCACTCCAAAACGTATACTTTCTCGCAAAATCCGAATGGATTATTATACTATGTGAACCAGCGTGTTTCTAACCAGCAATTTCCCCTCCGCTGCGATTCGAACTCAGGGTATTAGGTTTAGTAGGCAATTCACGTTAACACTAAACGACCAGCCTCATAGGTAATCTTCCTGGTTTAAAAGTAAAATTGAACTTAAATTTTTCAAAAATTCAGAAATTTTGAAAATGTTGATGCTTCATGTAAAGTAACCGAAAAATCAAAATATCTGTTACGAATTCATCGGACCTTGACTTTGGTGAGATCGATTGGAGAAAATCAATTTTGGAGAAAAGGTCACAGTTAGTAAACAGAGTAAAATTAGAAAGTTAGATTCTATTTTGGTTTTGACCAGTGATAAATCACTTAAATAATATGGCAGTATAGAAAAAGAATATTCATGACACTAGTTCCATAGCTGGGTTGAATTCATTTACTAACTAGAAGAAAATTCTTGCGGCTGGTTGCTCTGCTCGGGAGTTTTCGTATTTTTCCGATCAATACGAGGGGATTCCTGGAACAATACGATACCGTAACAAACGAGCCGTGCTGTTCTTCCTTCGTCATGCCCAACCCCCACCCATTACACACACCTACACTTATTTTCATTACTGTAACACATGTGGGGAGACCATTTGGAACTTACTAGATCTGGTCCAGGCTGTGACGGTGTCCCGTTTAGGGAGAAACTGTGGGGAATCTCACAAAGCAAAATATAAGTCGGCACCGGTTCGCATATGCCAGCTTGGAAGGAACACCACCCGCTCCCGGGATAAATCCTACACTGCATTACGGGGCTAATGTGGCGTAGTTGTCACGTCCGGAAACGACAGGATCACCGACTTACCACAGGATCTGGAGCAGGAACGAAAATGGGCTCACTGGACCAAGGATTGATGGTTAGAATGTATGTAAGTCCACGAACTTCTGAGCCCCTGTGTTACGCGACTACCAAGGAAGCACTATGAATCAAATTTGAATGAAAAAATATAAGATAATTTATATCACTTTGCTGGACTGATTTCCACCATGCGCGCTTTTTAAGGCAGTTTAAATGTAAAAATAGCCTCAATAGTTAGAAACTTATAATCATTATTATGTTATTACTGTTATTTAAGTAACGTATTCAGTAACGCCGCAGGTGGACCCTATCCGGTTTCAAAATCCCAATTTTAGATTCTACAATGCAGAATTCAATAACGCGCATTCGAAACACCCAGCGAAGAAAAAACGATCGAAAGCGCCGAATGGACATTGATCCTTCATTATATAAAAAACCGAAAAGTCTTTAATGTAATAAATACCAAAAGAGATTGAAAAAACTATGCATACGTTTCGTTTACTGAAACAAGCAGTTTCTGGAAGTTTTATTTTTTATCGCCCAGAACTTTGTGCTTCAAGTTCAGTTGGAAAGCTGAGGTATACCTAAGTATTAATGAAGAAAAAACAGATCTTTCATACAATAAAACAAAAAATTGTAAGTTGACGACCTGTATGTGCAAATTACGACAATACTCTACAGTGCGCAGTCATACAATTGCATTTGTGAAAAATTACGGCTACCAGAAAATTCACGGCGAACGTTTAAAATTTACAGTGCATACACGCTGTTCACACATGACGCGAAACGAACCTCCCGCGTCTTCAACATCTTGAAATGTTCCAGAGCTACGGTGACATACCGGTACGACGAAATTTGGAAAAGATTACAATAACCATAATACTACAATAACAATTTCCATTAAAATTTATGCATCTGAGACCAAAGAGAAAAGTAATTTATTTTGTTAGATTAAGGGGCTACTTGTGAGCCTTCACCTCTGAAAATGACATTACCTGAAGTTCTTGAACCAATTTTGAAATGATCCAGTTTGCATGAGATAAAAAGTATATTTACTAGACAACCAATAATGAGAGAGTCCGTAGTAAACTTTTGTTCAAATCCAAATTGTTTCTCACAAAAATGTTTTCTTTTATTTTCAGCTTGATTAAAGTGGATACTACACACGGGCGTTCGAAAACATCGTGGGAAGAGACGTGTAT